CGTCAACCGATTCGTCAGGGCATAGAGCACAGTCTTCTCCGTAAAGAGGCTATCGTCATCCCCCTGTGGTCTCGGTAAATGACCCGTGTTTCGATTGCGCTGCTTTTAAGTTTTAGTTTTCCAACACATCTGTTCTAACGCTGATGCGGTATTGTGCAGAGTATCGTTCAAGCCATTCGCATTAATAAGCTTGATGGTAGTTCTCCATCCAGACGATCTACTTGGGTCTTTGGGCTCTCCCTTCCGCACGCGCATCATGCACTACGACCCCAAGTCCGGTGTGCCTACCCACACACACGCTGCTTTCGCCGAAGAAGTGTTCGGGTGAGTGCGTTTATCCCCTTCCTTGCGTATGAGTATATGGCAGACAAACCCATCTGATTAAAACTGTTGTGGTTTCAGATGGCTGAAGGAGCAACTCCTTGTAGAACGTTGTCCGCAAGACACTGCGCTGACTTCCGAGGATGCGGAGCTCCGCGTGATGAGGACCAGGCTGGCGAGCTTGACACTCGAGCGCAACACGGTAAGCTTCTGACACTGTGGTTTCAGCGGAATTGCAATGTATACTGAATACACTACTAAACACAGTGCTTGTGGTTTTTCTAATCACAGATAACTTCACATGTTGGGCGGCAAGAGGTTGGGTCCGGTCTGCTGGTATCGTATTTCTGGGGGAAGCTGGTGGAAAATTGGGAGTTCGTGCTTTCGGTGCAGAGCGGGAGACCATTTCCTGGTCTTGGCAAAGGAACATACTCGAAGGAGGAAATACTTGCCTGGCTGATAACGACATGCCGCGATCATTTCGGGGGCCCCGCGAACAAGCAAGTAGCCGACCTGGTAGAGTTGGACGACGATGCGGACTCAGACTCTACGTGCGATTTGCGAACATCATCAGAATCACATAGTCAAGACCGTTCATGCTCATGTACGGGCCATTTTTATCGCGCTATTGCATCACCATGATAACATCGACCAGACCATTCGTGCTCATGTACTGACCAATATTTATCGCGCTATTGTACACCGCGGACAATTCGTTACCGTAGTTCTGTCTTGAACAAGCACACGCCTAAACACTTTGGAAAGCTTCTCTGGCCCGTAACTTGGAAAGCTTGCAAAGGTGTTGAATTCTTCAGTGCAAGATAGATAATATCCTTGTTGCTTACTCTCGGTGATGCTTGCGAAGCCTTCTTTGCTCTCCCCAATTTCATGGAAATTCTCTTCCCGGTCCACCCGATAAGAAGCGTAATGCGTAAAAATCAATATTTTTAATAGTAAGAATAATCATTCTTTTTACTTACATACCTAATGTCTCGTGCAACCTATGACGACTGCTCTGCAGACTCCTTGAAGAGTCTTGTCTTAATATGAAAATTTTTGAATTATAGGAAGAGGAGGAAGCCGCGGAGGCGCATGCCGACACAGGGGTTTGTGCACCGTCTACGCTGTTGCTCACGCGGAAGCCGAGGACGCGCCATACCCAGTCGGGCCCTTCAAATGTGTCGGTGTTGACCAAGGGGGGTATGTCAGATCCTTTGCAGAGCACAGAGGCGGGGACTATGCACAGCAACGACGCTAAGTGTGGGTTCATGAAGGGTGCTCTACAAGAGGTCGAAAGACTAAGGGTGCAGCGGCGAAGACAGGCGGAAGGGAGTTCACAAGAGGTGAAGTTGGGAGAGCATCCGGCGGCTCGGACGATGGCAGGAAGTAATGTTGAAAGGCCGATCGAGCAGCGCAGACATGGCGGAGAGTCATCTGCAAAAAAGTTGAAGAAGCTTCCTGGCGACGACCGAATGAGTGGACCGCCGGAGTTCGCGGCGGATACGGATGCGTCGAGAGAGAGGTGTGAGATGGTCGGTGTCGATGTTGAGGCGCTTCAACGGTCCTTGAAGCCGTTTATAAAGCAGTACGTTGAAGAATTGATAATGCGGGCGGAAGAGAAGCAGGTGGCTGATACCACAGACCATCAACGGCAGTTTGCAAAGGCGCTGAAGGAAGAGATAATGGCCGCTGTGCACGGGAAGCAAAACACGGGGCGAGAGGTGGAAATCGGGGGGGCTGGCATGCTGCATTCGCCTCCAGCAACGGCCGCAGGTGTTTTGTTGGCGCCTTCAATTCCAGATGCCGCCCCTTCCACCCCCCTGCAGCATACTAACATCCATGGCATGACTCTGGGTGTTTCGGTGGATGTTGAAGCGGTAGATAAGGAAGTACAAAAAGGTGGTGAGATCGGACAGCCACAGACAGGTGTGGGCAAAGGGAAGGTGCGAGAGGGGGCGAAGGTGGTAACGGGGGAACCATTGGCGCACACCGGTTCGGAGGGTGCTGCTGAAGGTGTCGGAGAGGACGTGCAGATCGTGGAAAGAGGAGGCGAACACGACGAGGTGGAAGAGAAAGAACACGGGAGCGCGGACGGCAAGGAGGCAGAGAGGGTGGAGGAGACTTCTGGTGAAAAGAAGAATGCAGATTTGGTCGTTCAACTAGCAGACATGGAAGCGGAAGAGAAGCGTCTGGCAGCGAAGGAAGAGGAGGAGAGAACTCGGGCTGCGGAGCGTATGAGGGCTCTGGCGTCGGAGAGGGCGCGACTATCTGCTGCACGACTTCAACTGATGCAGGAACGGCAACCGGAGGATCATGGTGCTGGAAAGCCGGCAATGGAAACCTCTGGTGCACGTGGGTTGAAAAGGGGGAGGGATGTGGAGGCGGACCAGAGCGAGTTGCAGACAGGTGCAGATGAAGCGATTGCTAGTGATGGGGACGGGATCGGAGAGGGCAAGAGAGGGAAGGTTTGTGTTGTAGCAGACGATCTGGGTAAAGTGTTCGGGGAAGATAAGCCGTACAAAGCAGGCGGGTTTTTCAAGCGGAAGACGGCAACAGCGGGAGGCAAGTACTGCTCCGAGCAGACAGTTGGAGGGTGCAAGAGAAATCTGGGAAATTTTGAAAGCGAGCGGAATAGGAACTTCAGCATCGCCATCTGCTGGATGTCATACACTCCAGATGCGGACCTGCTCGCCTACGGCATGGATAAGGAGGATGTCCAAGCGTGGTCGGCACATCTGAACCTTGCCAAGCAGCTGCCGACAGGTGTTTGGAGCGTTCTGAACGAGCTGCACATTTCCCGGATTGAGAAGTGAGTGACGTATGTTGCAATGCATTTTTGGAGGTTTAAGGTGTGCTCACAAAACGCTGCTTGTTGATACTGCCCTCCCAACAGTTTCGGTGCCGTCTTGAAGAAAACGAACGAGCGTCTGGCAAAGGGTGCAGAATTGCAGACCGGTCTCTGCGAAGGAATCGGCTTGGCAGTGCTGCTTGGCTGCACGGGTGTGGAACCAGCCCCAGACAGAGTCCCTCCTGCAGTGTATGCTGCTGGCGTAGCATCGGCGCTGTACACCTTATGGGGAGCCTCGATTGGTACTCCAGAAGAAGACTACAAAGCTGGCGCCTTGACCGTCGCGAGCTGCATCGTCAACGACGAGGAGCTGACGAAGCATGCGGCAGAAGCGGCTCGAAGCGGCGTAGTTGCAGTGAAGCAGGTCTCAGACAGACAACTCAAAAATAAGGAATGGCCGCCTGTCTTGGAGGGCAAGATTGTCGAGACCCTAAATCGACCAAAGGGCGAGGTAGAAGTGACCAATCTCGCCAAGGTGGTAGCTAGGGTCACGGTCTACTGGTGTCAGTGTGGCTTCGCTTCGAGGGGACTGGCTCACCACCAGGGCGCAACGCTTTCCATACTGCCAACGCGACGTGGGCCGAGGCAGAAGGGGGAGAAGGGGGATGAGTGATTGACGGGTGATGTGTAGTTAGAGAGTGCAATTGTTGATATGCAGGATAATGAGTATCAAATGTGTACCATACATCTACCGTTGCTAAGTACAGTACCCCGTTGAACAAATTTGACGATCATCGCATCTAAGCTCTGTCCAGTGCATGTGGTCTACTGAACGATAACCAAACGTTTTCAGTATGAAATTGTCAACCCGTAGATTTGGGCTGTTGAACACTTAACCTCTGAAAATGTAGAAATGGTCGCGGCCCTCCGAATATTCAATGAAGCTCCACAAAACCCACACCTGCAGATTTAAACAGTGCTCTGTAACGAGGCACGCGATGGTGAGGACCCTCTCAAATACTAAACAATCTCAATCTACCGTCCCATAAAGAAAACACCTATTTGTCTGCACAGTAAAACCCAATGGTGGACGAAACCGCGTAGAGTTGCCGTGAGTCCGATGCAACTTCAAAAAAATTCCTACGCATTTGTCAGGTCGGTTTTCTCGACCGAGCTTAACTAGGCTGACAATCTCTACCATGCAATCACGTTTAAAAACGTATTGTTCCACCGTTTACCCAACACGCACATAATCTACATCGACAATGGTGAAGAGAGGTCCCGGTTGGTCTGGACGGTTTCCCGTCCTTGATCGCAGTGTTCGGCCTTCCATAAACCAGCTCCAGACTATCTACACTTTCAGTTTTAAACAACGCTCTCTACCGAGGCACGCGATGGACATCTGTTCTGCCGCCCTCTCAAAACTAAACAAACACAGTCTACCGTCCCATAAAAAAAAACCTATTTGTCTGCACCTTAGAACCCAATGGTACCGAGGCACGCGATGCACCTTAGAACCCAATGTCTGCACCTTAGAACCCAATGCGTAGAGTTGCCGTGAGTCCGATGGAACCTCATAGAAAAATTTGCGCATTTGTCGGGTCGGTTTCTCGACTGAGCTGAACTAGACTGACAAACTCTACCATGCAATCACCCCAAAAACTTATTGTTCCAACTATTAACCAACACGCATATGATCTACACCGACAATGGTGAGGAGAGCACCCGTCCTTACTCCAGGTTGATCTGGACGGTTTCACGTCAGACTGTACCGTGGCATTCAAAAATCTTACGAGTCTGCGCGTAGAGCTCAAAAACGTTTCTCTACGCACGTGGTAAACGCAACCCCCCAGCACAGAATTACCACACCCACCTCCATAATCCCCTCCCTCTACACTCCCAGACCCGCGCCTGGCCTCTTCTTTAAAGGCTTTTGAGACACTTCGGTCTTGATCGACAGCCACTGATCTTCGCCGAAGAGCTCCTCCCCCCATGTGTCGTCGCGCAGACCATGAAACACGAGGAGATACGAAACCCTCTCTTGCGCATCGTCCGTCAGGCTTTTCCCCACAATCGTCAATGTTCGCTGCCTCTTCGTGCCCCTCTGCCCCTTGACGATTAGCCCATCTGCGAACTGTGTGGGACAAGTCTGGAACAGCACCTCATCGAGCACGTTCACCGCCTCGGTCGTCGCCTCCACCGAGTCGTCCACCCTGAACTTTTCCACAGCTGTCATAGCCCTGTGGATGCGACGCAGCTGCCTTTCACAGGTGCCATCCTTGGCATCCAGACGCACGGTGGGTTTGAACTTGCCTTTCTCCTCCTCAATTTCCTCACCCCTCTTGAAATGTGCCCATTTAACGATAAAGCCTGCAGCGTCTGCAACAGCACGCAGTGTTCGGCCTTCCACAAGGAAGCTAGACTTGTTCCACAGCGCCCATGCCTCCGCCACTGTGGTGCTGTCACGCCACGGCCTCACAACACTGTCGAAGTAGACAATCTCAGGTGTAGGTGTAGATGGCTCTGGGGTTGATGGGCCAGCTCCACCTTTCTCCATCTTCGATGAGGCCGCGCCTCTTGCAGCAGAGTTGTCGGTGCCAACGTTCCCCGTCGAGGAAACCGTGAGAGCGGCCAACTCGGCCTTGAGCTGCGCCAGCTGCTGCATGAGGCTCTTGTTGTCGCTCTGCAGGTCACGCATTTGGGCCTGAAGCTCGGCGTTGCGGACGTCCTTCAGCCCATTCTCCTTCCGCAAGCAATGGTTCTCTCTGAGGAGCTTCGCTTTCTCGTGCTCGCCCTCAATACGGAAAATAGCGTTCTGCGAAACGGAAACATGTTAGGCGGTGTGAATACTCGCATTAACAAGACTAATCAGCGGAGAAAAAGACACTTACGGCCTCCATCGACTGTCCCGCGTTCTCCCTCATGTCCTGGCCGTTTTTGTCCATGGTTGCAACAATTTTGGCCCACTTTTGAAACAAGGGCTCCTGGCAGAGACGGCTTATCTGCACATATGGGTGTCGCGTGCAGCTGCATCGTGGTTCATTTGGGTCGAACTCGTGCTCGCGACAGTGGATTCACATCATTGCAAGGTCTTGCTCGACCACGTCCCGACCGCAGTTGATGAGGCACTCCAAAAACCTCCTCCCAGAGTGATGCTGCTTGTAGGGGGTCCTCGGACGGTTGTACTTATCGACCTGGTGGTGAGGGACGGTTGCAAAGTCGTAGAGATGCATAGATTGAATACCTCATCTGCTCCAAACAGGTGAACTCAAACCCACGACTTTACCTTTTTCAACTGCTTCTCGGCCCAGGGGAAGATGTGCTTTCTGAAAAGCTTCTTCAGCTTTTTCCACTCCTTTTTTACTGGGAGAACAGCGTGTGCTCTGCCGATGTAGTAATCCCCCGGAGTTCCGGTGAATCCAGCCATCATAAGCATCGGATGAAAAGGAATTCCAATAATGTACGCCTTCCGCATCTCTCCCTGCTCCCACCCACCCAGAGCGCCAATGTCTGTATCGGGGCAACGGTCGTCGCTCAGCCCCTGCGCCCCCGATCGTCTGAAAATGTGGGTCACCTTGCTGAACATCCACTTTGCCTGTTTCATGACCCAGCGGATCCAGTTGTTGTGAGTCTCGTACTTCATCTCGTCTTGTGGCTGCGGACCAGGGACATTCGGCTTCCTTATGCCAAAGAACAGGTGCTTCCTGGTCCACTTACGCGGCTTCCGAAAGTCGAGACAAGGTACAACACCTTTCCCATATCTAATCGGGACGAGATCGTAGAGCCAATGAATCCACAAGAAAACCCCGCCAACGCCGCAGAGCTGCCAGTCGGTGTGCCTCGCCAGATACTGATATGTCAGGTTATTGGAAAGGTTGGTCTTTGTTTTCCTCGAGGCGATGACGAGCACAGGAAGGTCCATCTTCCCTTTTACGCGGGTGCTGCTACGGCACATGCGGATGAACATGTTGGCGAATCGGATTTTCCGAATAGAGACCCCCCTTCCCAGAACCTGGTGCGCCAGCTGAATCATGACCTTCACGGCGAGAACCCTCCACAGCGCCTGCGATGGAAAATCCTTGCTCCGCGCGTAGATCTTAAAGTCTCTTCTGGAAGAATGTTGTGATGCAGCTCCTTGTACTGATCCACGTTGTAGCAATCGTCGAGAGACCCACGGTGCTGATCCGCGCCGGTTCTGCACAGACAGTGGCAGGCGTTATACGCTAAGCAATGATACGGAGCGACGATGATCGTCCACGACGCGGAGGTGCAAAGTGCAATGTGAGTGGAAGGTGATTCACATCAACCACAACGAATTGCTCACCGAATCTGCTCCTCGTTGAGGTTGACCAGCTTCACTCTCATAAACGCCCTGCCCTGCGCGACTTTGTCTTGCATCTGGGTAAGGGGGTAGTCGTACAGCGCAGACTCGCATCTGCCTAGGCAGCCGATAGCGTTCATTCTCACCTTAATCATCTTTGGTGTGCTGGGCTTGGGCTCCCTCCCTGCAACGACAGGTGCATCTCCCTTGAGGGTAATCGCTTGTGCAGGTGTTTCATTGAACAAGTACTCTAGGTAGCGGATAATCCTCCACCCGGTAACACGGGGTCCGTGCAGATGCTGCTCGGAGTCATCCACCGAGTCCCATGAGAGTTTCAGGTCGTCGCCCATATACCTGCCTACTTCGTCTGGGTTCTCGAGGTCAATTTTCTCGGACTCTGGTATCACGTCTGCCAGCAGAGTCATCATCATTACTGTAACCCAACGCTTGTAATGGCGCCAGTTGCAGCCGTACTGTGCTCTGGTGTGTGCGGCTTTTCCGTCGACATGCACGGCAGCAAGCATTTTCCTGTGAGTTTTCTCGGCGTCGCTCTGCGGGGGATCGCTCCCAAGGAAGCCGGTGTCTTCGCTAAACAGGGGACGCCGAATGTGGCTTGAATTCTCATCGTCTTGGCCGTGCCAAGGTGGTTGTCTCTGCGCAGATCGTCGGCCCCGCCAGCGTCGTCGACGTCGAGCAGACCGTTGGCCTTGCGAAGGTTGTTGGTCCCCTGCAGATGATCGTTGGCCTTGAGACGGTCGAGTGGTGTTGGACTGCCCAACACCTACACCCTCGGCAGCTCTGTGGTGGCTTGAACTCTCACCCCCTTGACCCTCCTCATCGCTTTCCCCCTCCTCCATGCCTTCGTCACTGGCGTCGCTAAAATCGGTGTCCGTCTCTTCATCGTCCTCGTCATCCGAACTGTCATCGTCGTCGTCTCCCTCGACTGCGTCCAGGTACTCGGTCTCATCCTCTTCACCATCCCCTTCGTCTGCCAGAGGTTCTATTTCGTTCTCGATCGGGTCGCCATATTCCGACTCCGTCTCTTCATCGTCCGCTTCCTCTGCACCTGCTTCCGGGACTCCCTCTTCTCCACCGTCCCTTTCTAATGCAACTGGTTCCCGGCCTCCCTCGTCTTCAGCAGCCACGCTACCCTCTTCTACGACTTCCTCGGGAGCCTCTGCAGCTTCGTAGTAGTCGTCTTCAACATCGCAATCGTAGATGAGATCGTTGGCTGCATCCAGCGCATAGTCATCTTCGGCGTCCGTTAATTCGTCGTCGTCCTTGTCGTCGCACCCGCCAAGTTGTTGCCAACAAACTAGGAGCCAATCGGTCCCATCTGTGGACATTGTGCCCTACGGAGAAGGAAACCGCGCCTAACTAGGTAAAGGTCATATGGGTTCGCCAAACTTCAGTGTGCATGCAAAAACGAGCCTACCTAAAAGGGTATCGCTATAACGAACAGTGGTCGGTCAACTTCAGCACATTGGATGTACGTGGTCGCGCAACAGTGGTTTCGTTGATCAAGCAAACGTAAACTACGTCATAGATGGATCAGTAAAGATGTACACTAACGCGACACTGTAGAGTCACTCTGAACCTTACTGTCGTCGAAGAGTATCTGATTCTAACTAGACGATTCTATCCGTTTAAATCAGTTTGCAGATCAGAACTACGGACAAGTGTTACCGTAGAGGATTAACTAACGGTGCTGTCTAGATATCGCTGTCTGGTAGACAAGCGTATCATATACGACATGCAGAACCTTCTAATCTAGCGTGTTGCATAAATGCTATCAGGATGCTTCTACCGCTGCCTGTCTCGATTTCGGGACGAGATGCAGAACCAATGTTCTAATCTACAATTGACATATTGGACGGTCGGGCAGCCCAAAAAAAAGGGAGGCGTCCAAAACTAATCGTCTACAAAAAACCGGATCGAGGACCACGACGGTATGCAGACTTTCTACGAGGGCTGCTGTGGGAGCTGATACGTGCTAGGGGTGGGGCGTTGAGGACTTAGCGAAAAAAATAGATGAAGCGGGTGCAAGAGCACTTGGAGGACCACGCATTGGCCATCATGAAAAACGTGAACAAGAAAAAAAAGAATCAGAATGAGGGCGACAACAGGCTTTGAAGCCCCACCTTGAGCTGAATCCACTAATCAGGTCACCCGGTTTTCAGATCTGGATCTCCTGGCCACCCGCCAATTCCAGGGTCGACGGTTGGCTCCTGATTAACAGGAGATGCGGTCGTCTGGTATTGGTTCCTGCGTCGGAGGAGGAACATGTTCGCCGATTGGTCGACCCATTTTTTGGTGTCAGAATACACCGCGTTGTTCATACGAACTTTTAAAAAGTATCAAATGTTTGATCGTGAGGCACTCTGTAGAGAGTTCGCGTGCGACAGGCTCTGCGACGACTTGACGACCGTCCCGTCGCAACCGGTCGTGCGACAAGAGGGTGTCGTCGGCCGTCCGGGGGGTAACCCCGCTTCTCGCGAGCGTTTCGCCTACAACTGCCCTCGCCAAAGTTGGTGTTGCATTTTGAGTTCGGCCTCTGCCCGAGCTGGATTTTTGGGTCAGGTGGGCGCAACAATTCGGCCCGGAGAGCCGTGTCGTATTCGGCGGGGCTTTGCGCCCGTTTTCCGCCCGTCTTTTTGCCTAGACAGAACCAGAAAGACAGCCAGGCGTTTTCGGATAGACAGGGACCCTCGGCGGAAAATAGCTTACATCATCCCTTTACTAATCCCACTCCCTCCTCATAAAATCAAGAACTCACTCCATCTGCTCTGTCAGTTACACAAGCAGTTTCTTTCACACGATTTTTCACTCCTTGCTGTCACCTATTGGGACCGACCTAGGCAGAGCTGTTTTATCATGACAAGCCGGGAGAGTGTGTACGGAACGGAGACTATACATATACTGTGGCATTATTGTCTTGTAGTAAGAATGTAGCATTTCGCCAGCAATGTCACCGGCTCAGGAATGTTGTTTGTGTCTCAGTATGCATGCTGGAGCCCATGGCCTTGCCTGTGGATTTTTTGCCAATCCGAAACCCAACGCAAACCCATGCAAGAAAGTTATTATCAACCACGTGTCATCCCAGACGAGGACTGGGTCAAGTCGCCCCTTCAATTCATAAATCGCTGACGACATTCGTTAACGTGCAAATGCCAGCATCGCGGACAATCAGGTCTTCTTGAAATCGAACCGGACTGGTCGGTTGGTTCCACTGCCTCGGCTTCGCAGCCTTGGTTCTGTTTTCGCCAGAAAGAAGCCATCAAGCAACACAAAGAAAGTCATGAATCCCATGAACTTGATGCTCATAGATTATTTTTGCGGACTATGTCCTCTTTGTCATGCGTTCCTTCATCAACCAGCCGGCCACTGCACTCCTGTCCTAGCTGCACTATCTTGTCTCACACAATCGCGACACCCTTCGGGAGCACTTTCTGCTTGGGTGTTCTGCTTCATTTGTTAAAGAAAACTCTGGTTTCTAAAGGATTTGTTTTTTCGCAGAGAGATTTCTACCCTCTTACCTGCCAAACGGACTGTTTACTTCCCGCTGACGCCATTCCCGTTGCCGCGGCGCTTGGAGGAGACATCAAGGTATGACACGACGCTTGAGTCTCCTGCTCGCTGCACTGGCTGCTCTCATGCTCTCAGGTATGCTCTCATGCTCTCAGATATGCTTTCATGCTCTCAGGTATGCTCTCCTGCTCTCAGGTATGCTCTCATTCCCTCAGGTATGCTCTCATGCACTCAGGTATGCTCTCATGCACTCAGGTATGCTTTCACGCTCTCAGGTATGCTCTCCTGCTCTCAGGTATGCTCTCAGGTATGCTCTCACGTATGCTCTCAGGTATCCTCTCAGGTGTGCTCTCATGCTCTCAGGTATGCTCTCAGGTGTGCTCTCATGCCCTCAGGTATGCTCTCGTGCTATAGATCTGCTCTCATCCTCTCAGGTGTGCGCTTTCGGTCTCGGACATGCCATGTTCAATTGGCTGAAGTAGATAGAGCGACTATCACGGGACTGACAAGAATGAAGCTTCTCCTACTCCAACAATCTTAATCTCCTCGTGTGACACCTTGTTGGTCACTGCCATCTGCAACCTCAGCTCAGAGGCTTACTTCAACATTCCCGTTCCCCCTTCTCTTTTCCCCTACCTTCTCCAACTTCGTCCCCCCCCACCGTCCTCTTTCGTGCATCTTGTGCGTTGAAAGCCCTCTTTCTTTCCACCTTCTCTCTTTTCCCCTCCCCCCTTTCCCTCCCCTTGGCCTCTTTCGTGCAGCTTGTGCATTTAAAGTTCCCCCACTTGAGCCTTCCGTTCCTTCCCCCTCATCCCATCCTCTTTCCTCTCGTTCCTGCCCTCCTCCCCACTCCCCCTTTCTCCCACCCATTCGCTCTCAGCCTCTGCGGCCAGGGCTGCTGCTGTTCGCCTGCCAGATGCGAGCAAGGCTGCCGACCGTAAGTCAGCCACCTGCAGTTACCCCTACTAGGGACTGAACCGCTCACATTCCTCCCCGCTCCCTCCCACCCATCCCCCGCTCTCAGCCTGTGCGCCCAGGGCTGCTGCTGTTCGTCTGCCAGATGCGAGCAAGGCTGCCGACCGTAAGTCAGCCGCCCGTACTTACCCCTACTAGGGCCTGAACCGCAACACTTAGGGCCTGCTGAAACGCACTATTGCCCGTCCCTTTGTCTTCAAACCCTGATGGGAGCGATGCTTGATACCTGTTGCGCTCTTTTTATTCAACCTGTCAACTCGCAATCCCCTTCTCCCCCTTCTCAGCCTGTTCCACTCCTCACTCCGTTTCCTCTCCTCGCCCCATTTTCCTGTCCTCTTCCGCGTTTCCTCTCCTCGCCCCGTTGTGCTCTCCTCGCCCCGTTTTCCTCTCCTCTCCCCGTTTTCCTCTCCTCTCCCCGTTTTCCTCTCCTCGCCCCGTTTTTCTCTCCTCTCTGCCTCTCCTCTCCCTCGCTGGTCCCTGCAAATAACACGTGGAACAGATTCGTGTGTGCAGAGGAAGTGTGGCGCCAATTCTGTTGTGTGATGCAATCATATGCATTCACGTCTGTCTGCCTCCCATCATATGTTCGTGCGTTGCATGCGTGGTGTGAGCGTGTGCAAGAATTTGTGTTTTCTGTGGTTTGGATTCTCTGAGTGTGTGTGAATGTTATATGGCTTGAGCAGATAACTGAAGTGACTCCTTTGCTCAAGAGCTTTCCGACGAACCAAAAAATCGTTGCGATCGGAGCAAGAACGAGAAAGATATTATCGTTCGAAGTTTTGATTGTGGTGCGGCGACTTTGGGAATTTACGGGTTGACTCAATATGGGGTACAGACTTTTGGGGGTTGGGAAATTCGTCTTTTCTACTGTAGTTGCTGCCAAGTGGTTGGGAGAAACCAAATTGGGTTGGCAAGTGTGGCCAACTTGGGTGAGGTGGATTGTGGAGGTTGGGAAATGGACAAAGGTCAAAGTGGGGTTCCTATAGGGAAGGGATTTGGTGTGCTTATGGGGTTTCTTTGGTTGGGGACTGCTTGGGGACCTTCCCTCTCGTCCTTCTCTTCCCCTCCCTCCTGGTTAATTGCAAGTCTAACTCTCTTGTGTAGGTATTGTGGTACTTCTGAGTAAATTGTGATTGAGTTAAGTTTCTATGGCAGCATACCCCCTAGTGCGCCGAAATTGATAACTCGAGTTATACCCCATATTTGGATACGATTCAAATTGGGAAGGATAGCCATGGTAAAGGGCTACAACATACTCGAGTTTGAGAGAATTCTAACAGTGCGGTTTTTGTCGACGACGTTTCTTGTGACGACGACGTTTCTGTCCAGAATTATAGTTGACGATTTTGAGATATTTCGTCCCCTAATCTTCATAGACTCCGTCCTTAGTTTCTAACAAATTCGATCTGAGCTGATTAAGGACTTTTTGGAGAGTCTACTGAAGTGTGAAGACCCTCCTAGACCCACTATGGCCTGTGGGCGTGCCTAAGTGGAGTTCTGGAGGTTGGATGCGACTTCCGCTAAGGGGAAACTCTGCCGAAATTTCGTTGGCGCCGACACTTGTGAAAATATTGTGGATCTTCGGTGTGGACAGCAAAGGGGGGAGCTGAAACCTGTGATTGGGAGCAGAGGAAATGAGTCAAGGGAGTGAAGATGCAGCTGAGAAGAGGAATGAACCGCCACCATCCAAGATCGAGGCATTGGATGGCTCCAACTATGAGGAATGGAGCGGGCGGATGCGGAGTGCGTTTAAGCGCTACAAGCTGCTGAAACTTGCGATGGGAGAAGAGAAGATGCCGGAGGAAGGCGACGCCCGCGATCGTTGGATTGAGAAGAACGCGGTGCTGTACGACCTCATCCTCCAGTCGGTCAACAACGACATGTTCCAGCACATCAAAGATTTGGTGGAGCTCGATGACTCGGGACCGAAGGCGTGGAAGCTACTTCGGGATGTGATTCAGCCCAACAGGCTGCCAATGGTGATTGTGTTGGAGAAGGAGCTGGCTGCCCTCTCCATGCAACCGGGTGATGATGTGAAGCCGGTCCTTGACAAGATCAAGGACACCTATACGAGGATGGCAGCGGCGGGCAGCAATGTGTCGCAGATGCAGCAGTGCACCAAGATCATCTCGGTGCTCGACAACTCATGGGACAACCTGATCCCCACCCTCAACTCTCAGCAGGACCAGTGGACACCTGAGTGGCTACGGCAGCAGATTCTGCAGGAGGACTTCCGCAGGCGCCACACCGGAGGTGGTGCTGCCAACAAAACTGCTGAGGGGTATGGAGCTGCAGGAGGCAGCAGAGGAAGAGGGGGTGGGAGAGGCCGAGGCCGTGGGAGGAGCTTTGGCAGAGGGAGAGGCCGAGGTGACTACAACGAGGGGCATGGGAGCTCTGGTGGCAGGGGGAGCACTCGAATGAAGTCACCTAAGCCATGTGAGTGATGCGAGTCACCTAAGCCGTGTGAGTGACGCGAGTCACCTAAGTTGTGTGAGTGATGCGAGTCACCTAAGCCATGTGAGTGATGCGAGTCACCTAAGCCATGTGAGTGATGCGAGTCACCTAAGCCGTGTGAGTGACGCGACTCACCTAAGCCGTGTGAGTGATGCGAGTCACCTAAGCCGTGTGAGTGATGCGAGTCACCTAAGCCATGTGAGTGATGCAAGTCACTTAAGCCATGTGAGTGATGCGAGTCACCTAAGCCGTGTGAGTGATCTGAGTCACCTAAGCCATTTGAGTGATGCGAGTCACCTAAGCTGTGTGAGTGATGCGAGTCACCTAAGCCATGTGAGTGATGCGAGTCACCTAAGCCATGTGAGTGATGCGAGTCACCTAAGCCATGTGAGTGATGCGAGTCACCTAAGCCGTGTGAGTGATGCGAGTCACCTAAGCCATGTGAGTGATACAAGTCACCTAAGTCATGTGAGTGATGCAAGCCACCTAAGCCATGTGAGTGATGCGAGTCACCTAAGCCATGTGAGTGATGCAAGTCACCTAAGCCATGTGAGTGATGCAAGTCACCTAAGCCATGTGAGTGATGCGAGTCACCTAAGCCATGTGAGTGATGCAAGTCACCTAAGCCATGTGAGTGATGCAAGTCACCTAAGCCATGTGAGTGATGCGAGTCACCTAAGCCATGTGAGTGATGCAAGTCACCTAAGCCATGTGAGTGATGCAAGTCACCTAAGCCATGTGAGTGATGCGAGTCACCTAAGCCATGTGAGTGATGCAAGTCACCTAAGCCATGTGAGTGATGCAAGTCACCTAAGCCATGTGAGTGATGCAAGTCACCTAAGCCATGTGAGTGATGCAAGTCACCTAAGCCATGTGAGTGATGCAAGTCACCTAAGCCATGTGAGTGATGCAAGTCACCTAAGCCATGTGAGTGATGCAAGTCACCTAAGTAGTGTGAGTGACGATCCTGCACAAGTGGTCAATTGAATCGTAGCCTTTTCATTCCTCTCCCTCCATACCACCTCCAGATACCTGTGTGATCAAGGGCTGCAATGCTGTGGTTACCGATTGTGTGAAGGACGCTGCAGGCACTGCCTCCTGTGTTTGCAAGACGGGCTACCAGAACGTATCAGGCACGTGCATGGGTATGTTTCTCTGCTGCCCTAACCCTTAATCGCATTTCTTCGTCTTCGTTTTGTTTCTCTTGGTTGACTACTGCACTGGCTCGGTTCCCACTGGCTCGGTTCCCACTGGCTCAGCTTGCCCCGGCCCCGATCTGAGCCACTTGCTCCTTTTGATCGTTTCGGATTGTCACGGCATGCTAGCTCGGCTCGGCTTAGCCACTTGATTCTGCCCCTACACGCCCTGGTGCTTTTGGCGATGTACCATACTGCGTGCATGCACCATCTGCTGTCTGTCTCAGTCTGTGTGCTCCGCTCTCTCCCACCACCACCACAGGGCTTGCCTCGTGTGAGGTCTGCCCTGCAGGAGCCAGCTGCACTGTGCTGCGGTACAGCAAAGCACCCTACTGCACCATACTGCACCAGACTGCATCATATTTTACTCTGCATCGCATGCTCCCCTCTCCCTCACCACCGCAGGGCCTGCCTCGTGTGGGGTGTACCCTACAGGAGCCAGCTGCACTGTGCTGCCGTACGGCAAAGCCGCCTACTGCTGTTGTACCATACTCTGTGCATGCACCATCCGCTGTCTGTCTGTCTCACTCTGTATGCTCCTCTCCTCCCTCTCCCTCACCACCATAGGGTTTGCCTCGTGTGGGGTCTGCCCTGCAGGAGCCAGCTGCACTGTGCTGCCGTACAGCAAAGCCGCCTACTGCCTGTACGCGTGCATGCACCATCTGCTGTCTGTCTCACTCTGTATGCTCCTCTCCCCTCTCCCTCACCACCACAGGACCTGCCTCGTGTGGGGTCTGCCCTGCAGGAGCCACCTGCACAGTGGTGCCGTACACCAAAGCCGCTTACTGCGCCTGCCCTCCGGGCTATGGCATGACCGCTGCTGGTTGTGTGCTCGGTATGTCCCCCCCTTGGCGTCCGCATGTTAGGTGCTACCATGTTACCACTGGTTTCCTACTTTAAGGCACCTTAAAGCCCCCTACTGCCGCTGTCCTCCCGGCTATCGCATAGTTGCTGCTGGTTGCATGATAGGTGGGTATGCCCATCCTGCTCGCACTTTATATAACTATATGTGTCCGGACTAAAGATTCCAAGCATTGGCATGGTGCCCCAACAACCTGTACACCGCCTTGTTCCTCTTGACTTTGTACCAAGGTCACCTGCAAAGGTGCCTGAAAGAACGGTGCCGGTGGCTTTTGAGTTGACTCAAAACTCGCCTGTCTTCTTCCCATGCCCTGCCAGGTGCCACCCCCACCGTTGGCTAATAAAATAGCCCCTAGGGTGAGTCACAGCTTTGCAATGGACACCCTTCACGTTCCACCTCCCTTTGTTCCCGTCCTCTTCCTCTTCCCCTTCCAGGTGCCACCCCCACCGTCTCCTCTGTCAGCTTCTCCTTCCACATTCTCCTTCTCAAAACTCGCCTGTCTGCTTCCCATGCCCTGCCAGGCGCCACCCCCACGGTCTCTTCCTCCAGCTTCACCCTCTACATGCTCCCAACCGTTGGATTTTACTTTTGAGAATTTTCAAAAGTAAAATCCACCGTCTCTTTCTCCAGCTTCACCTTCTACGTGCTCCCAACCGTTGGCAAATAGCCCGTAGGGTGAGTCACAGCTTTACAATGGAAATCCGTGACGTTCCACCTCCCTTTGTTCCCGTCCTCTTCCTCTTCCCCTTCCAGGCGCCACCCCCACGGTCTCCTCGACCACCTTCTCCTACTGCATGCTCCCGAGCTTCGGCATAACGCAATTGACATTCTACAACCCTCTGTTCTCCTCCTCTCCCCTCCGCTCTCCTCCCTCCCTTTTCTTCCAGGCGCCACCCCCACCGTCTCCTCGACCAGCTTCTCCTACTACATGCTCCCGAGCTTCAACATAACGCAATTGACATTCTACAACCCTCT